AAGTTTTTTGTGGACTTTTTTTGTGATTTTTCACCTTTCATGATCTAAAAACTATTAAAATTGTAATGAAGAACTCCATACATGTTGTAGAAAGGAAAATATTTTCAATTCACTTCAAAGTTGTACTCAATAATTTTGCTCATCAAAAAGAAGCTATGAAATCATACAGATACTCAACTCAACAACGTTTCGGAGGCCTTAGTCTACCTAGTCTATCAGAATTGATTGGAAAAACTCTAATGAGTCGTGCAGTATTTCCTTTGGTCAGTTTTATTTTCAAATCGTCTTTGATAGATGTCAAAGAAGTTTCAAAATGTGAAATACGTCAATATTAATGATTGATTTCCGTAACTTTAGCTGTAGTACAAACAATAAATATACTAATATCTATGCTCACACATACAAATCCCAACCACAATTTATACTTCAAAACCATTGAAATTGCGTTGAAATGAACATTGGGATTATAACAAACAGAATCAAAAGTATCAGGAAATGAATATTTCGAAATGAATTTCGAAAAATTATTCTCTCCCAACTACCTACACAGTAGGGTGTGGTAAACGTCTGTCGAGAAAAAACTACTTTCCCGGCTTAAACCACGCTGCATATTGAATTATATCAGACAGACATTTATGCAAAATTCCTCACAAAGGTTAGTCTTGCAGATGTTTCTCGTTTCATCCAGCAGCAGGACTACGCTGGAATTATTCAAGTAAATCACCAGCAGACCGCAGTTTCGGGGTTTTACCTCTCGTCAGTACAGAAAAAATTCTACCCAGACACAACTCCGCTACATATATGAAACCTTCGTTTGAGAGGAAGATTGTTAACTAGTAACAATTCCATCTCGAGAACCATCCCATATATTAAAACTCTAACAGAAATCAAAAGTGAAAACTATCGAGGAGAGATACATACCTATAACGAAATGAATATTTCGAAATGAATTTCGAAATATAAATCTCTCCCAACTACCTACCTGTACTGACAAGAAGTATTGCCTCGAAACCGCGGTCTGCAGGTGATCTACGTGAATTATTTCAACATGTTCCTGCTGCTGGATGAACGAGAAACATCTGAACACATCAGAACACATATTGAAATAAATCGAATTGAATGAGAATGATTGCCAAAGAACCCCTTT